GGTGTGCCAGGCACGCCTGGTACACCAGGAACACCTGGAATACCTGGAACACCACCAATTCCACCGCGTCCTGGATATCCGGGCAGTCCAGGCACCCCAGGAACACCTGGAACTCCACCAATTCCACCTCAGCCAGGACATCCTGGTACACCAGGCATACCAGGAAAACCTGGTAGGCCTGGAACACCACCTGTCCCATCTTATCCGGGATATCCTGGTACACCAGGTACGCCAGGAACACCTGGAATACCTGGAACTCCACCAATTCCACCGCATCCTGGATATCCAGGCAGTCCAGGCACGCCAGGAACACCTGGAACACCTGGAACTCCACCAATTTCACCACAACCAGGATATCCTGGTACACCAGGTACTCCCGGAATACCCGGGACGCCACCAACTCCACCCCAACCAGGACATCCTGGAACACCACCTTATCCGGGAACTCCTAGTAAACCTGGACATCCCCAGACGTCAAAACCAGGTACGTTTTATATCTCTTGTAAGCAACGTTGTGTCTTCGAAATTACGAATTTTTTATTAAAATTTCAGGTCAACCCCCGTATCCACCATATCCAGGATACCCTCCTGCACCTGAAGGCCCAATTGGCGGTGTAGGTCCGGATGGTCCTCAAGGTCCAGATGGTCCTCAAGGTCCTGGCGGGCCAGGAGGTCCTGACGGTGGAGTTGGAGGAATAGGAGGAGTAGGTGGCGATGGGCCTCCTGGTCCAGACGGTCCATGGCCGACCGGTTCACCCGGTCCAGACGGTCCATGGCCTGGTGATCCGGGTTACGTGCCTGGCGTTCGGCCAACAACACGACCTCGGCACGAAGAGCCGATCAAACTTCAATATCCCATCAAGTATTACGAACCTACAACGCCAACAACCATCTACGATCATCCGTCTTATGGACAGAAGCAAGTGGAAGGACTAACATCCGGCTCGAAGTTCAGATCGGATTACTCAAAGAACGACACCTCGGATGAAAATTACGAGAAGACTGTCGAGTCTACAGCGTTTGCTTACCCAACGAAAATAAGCAATCCTTTGGGGGCGAAGGATACGTATACGATCAGAGGTCAGTTCAGGAGACCTGGTTACCAGGCGGGTCAGGTAAACCAACAGGCGGACGAAATTAATTCGTTGCTGCAAGCGCAGCAAAAGGAATCGCGCAAATACACCGAGGTACAAGAAGGGCGGAGTAACTACGAAGGCGTTAAGAAAATTGTGCCACAAATTCCACAGGACACCTCAAGCGGTGTCGAACATTTCAACGGCCAAGGTAGATCAATGCAACTGGGCTTCCGCGAGAATCGTAAATATCCCTACCAACGAGTGAACGAGCCGGTGGTCCAGATAGAGACGAGTTACGATGGGGACGACGCCGCGCTTGCCAAACAGGTAAATCAACTGTCCGAGAAATCCAACCGACCGACCTCGGACTTCACCGCGATCGGTGTTCAACCACCGAACCCGATCGACGCCAAGCTCTACGAGCAATCCGTAGGGCCAGACCCTCGAACCTGTCCCTGCTACCTTGTCGAGCCTGGCAACGATACAGTTACCACCACGAGCACGACATCCGTTCCCCTGGTCGGTCAGCTTGGCTTCATCCCGGTGATATTCGTACCGTACTGTCCCGGCGGGGATGAAACGGACGGTGAAAGCATGAAGGACATGTTCCCATCGGCGATGCCTGTCCCGTATGCATGCGACGCGTGCGGCTTCCAAACTGGCAAGCTCGAAACGAAGCTCATCAACGCGAGCCAACTTGGCAATATAGAGAATCTACGCGAGGCGTTGCGGCAGGCGAAACTTGGCTTTCTCAATGTTTCAGCGCGCGACCGGAAGGCGAGGAGAAGGGCGAAGAGTCGGTACGCCAAGTGACGAGTGCGACTGCAGCGCACAGATTTCAGTTCGCCACTTGGCCGCGGTTACGTCTCGAGGGAACCGCTGGTGAAACAAAAAATCACCGTTTGTCTGTCAGTCAGCTGCTGGACGGCTGAGCGATGACACAAGATCGGGAAACAAGAATGATTATTATCTCGTGGTAAATGGGCATAACTAATACGTTCTTGCTAGTAATTAAGTGGAAGGTGACAGGGTGAGTGTTGGTAACAGGTTACGTTTAGAACGCTCGCGTGCGTTATGGTTATTATCCAGATGTACGTATCACACTGGCTGGTGTATAGTGTTCTTTTTTTTCTTTTTTCTCTTCTTTAACTCGGATGGGAATTCACGGGGAAAATTTATAACGGTTAAGCCTGGAAAATAGGACGTTGCTGCTCGCTGCAGAGAAACGAACAAAAATGAAATGGAACGCAGAGCGCAGCATTGTCTACGAGAACAGTAAATTATTAATATTCCGCGCTTTGTTTTTCTTTTTTTTTTTTTTTTTGTTTCATAACGTTAAAGAATACGAGAGTCGTCGTCTTGTAAGGATATTTATGTATCGAGTATAAATGTTTCCGTAGTTCTTCTTCTTCGTAGTTGTAACGACGCAAATATATATATATATATTTAGTTTATTATTTTCTAATTATTATCACTTAGTATTTAATTTCGAGGATATCGTTTTCGTTTCGCTCGATGTTGATCGCACGAGTAACTAGAAACTAACTGGACAGTTAATCGTCACTTTCTTTCGAGTCTTCTCCGCCTGAATTGTACGAACATCGCGAGAAACGACATTGTCCGCATTACGCTCTCGTGTTTAACGTATGCTTGAGATTAAATATTGATTGTGCAAGTGCTAATACGTATTGTAATTTCTATTGGGCACGTACAGGACGATCGTCACGTATAGAAAAATTGTCAACATCAAATATCTTCCGAAAAAAAAAAATAGGATTCAAGTTAGATGAAATATTTCTCACTCCTAGAATTAATCGAACTTATCTCTCGTTGAACTTCGTATTTAACTGTACATGCTCGATATCTTAACAAGATAATTCTATTGTATTTATAAGACACGTGGCCGCCGAAATTTTCAATAAATTATACATAATTTGTACATACAACTGATATTGCGTTCATGCAAAATGTTCCTTGCAAGCATGAATCATGTATTTTTATTAAATAAAAATAATCATGATACATTTTAAACCTTCGAACAGGAAAGTTTTCTTCCAGAAACAAAAGATACCTCCCTGTACTCACATAGTAGACAAACCAGTAGCCTTATTAGCCGAACTGTATTTATTATCATCGATAAAATATAAATACATCGCTTCGAAGAATTAATAACAAATACAAAATTACGATCTATGCGTTAACGTTAATACGGATTAATACGCCACGTACACAGTTGAATCAGTATTGGTTCAAATACATACTGCTGTAACGCTCGCGTTGTATTCTTTGTTAAAAAGGATGAAGAAAGGTTTAAGAATAACCTCTGTATCCCGATGGATTGCCAGCGTAGCTTGCGTAATTGGTGTTACGATAATACGGATCGTAGTTGCTCCTCACGTTGTACGAGGATCCATAATTCGATCCACCGTATCCAGTCCCATAACCATCGTAACGTCCGTAACTACCACGTCCACCATACCCATAATATCCATCATCGTAGATACCAGAACCGTAACTTGGGCCATATCCGCTGCCATAACCACCGTAGCCCCCTATCGAGCTTCCACCGTATCCACCATAACCCCCGTAACCATCGTAACCGAGATATCCATAGCCTCTGTATCCCGGATTGTATCCAAGGTTGCCGTAATAGCCGTACCTAATGTTAAAAGACTGATGAAAACGTGAGCAATTTGATTTAATCTACATGAGGACTGTATCGATCGCGAACGTGATTTCTCTCTAGTGTCTTTTTCTTAAAATGGCAAATTTCTCGAGAACTGTTTCTGTCATTAAGCCCTTCGAACGTGAACCCGTATCCTTCGAGGACAGATGATTTCTATGGGAATGAATTAAATCGACAAGTGATCATTTACTGTCATTGAGAATTATTATTAAACTTGATAACCTTAGTAATTATTATTACGAAACAACCTGGTGTAACTGAAATCTATAAAAATTATTTGTCAGAGAATTTATGCTTGAACGACAGCGAAGTTCGAATAGAATTTACATATTTGTACACATACGTTGAGCACGCTGTCGAGGATTTAGATATATTATTATAAATATATTTTAAATATATATCAACCATCCAAGAATTATTATCAAACCTAGTTATCATTGATGTTGAATTGAAATCTATAAAAATCTAAATTAGGGTTCCTAGAATGTTAATTTATACTTGACGAGCGAAGCCGATGTAAATATAAATTTACGTATTTATATCGAGCACGCTATCAAAGATTTAAATATATATTTCGAACAACTTGAAAATTGAACATTCGAGGAAACTTTCAAATCGAAGATACGATTCTCAGATTCCGGTATAAGGCCAACTATTACATTCTCGAGCTAAGATCATTCATCATTCAGTAACAAGTTATCAGAAATTTCTAATCAGAGGTATTTTTCTTTCTTAAGCGAAATCACACAGACGTGACGCGTTTGTGAATTGCGAATCTCACCCTATATGGCCGCCCCCAATAATTCCACCTGGCCCACCCACTTGATAACCTCTGTAGGCTGGATTTAGGTATCCCGGACTCAAGCCTGTTCCACGATATGTCGTACCAGGGCCATAAATCGAGCCACCAAGACCAAGGTAACTTCCATATGGTACGCCCCTAGGTTGATAGTCTTTCTCGAGGTGAAACGCTGGAATCAACGGAACTTTTGAGAAAATCAACATTTTCGCCGAGTTTATTAATCGATCGCAGACGACAAGAAATTCTTGATTTTTTTTTTAATGACAATAACCATTTTTTACTCCTTTATCAATTGTAGATCATGAAGGAAAGATATATATTGTATCTCTTTTCTAAAGATTCAACATATTCAGTCTCATATTATCGAAATTAGTTTTCATCTTTAACTCTTAGTTATCTCTTTAAATGTTATGATATTAAAACTATCGAAATGACCAATTTATAATTTTCCATAGAAATTTTATATATTTATAACAACGCATTTCTAGAGACTTGAATGATTTTTAGTAAAATATATAAATATATAAATAGAAATAAAATATGAAAATATATAAATAGATATAAATATATAAATCGAAGCTTCTATCTATAAATCCTTGCACGTTAATTCTTCCACTATAAATTTTATACTTTATATTTTTATATTTTAGTGTAGTGTTAAAGATGTTAATGCATAGCTTCAGCTTCCATAAAGCTTCATTAAGTTGTCAAGTATTTTTGATTTACTTTTTTAAATCAATAATATTAATAAATATTGTTAACTATTATATATACTATACTATTAACTAAAATAATATTAACTATTATATATACTATACTATATATACTATACTATTATATTAACTATATAAATATTATTAACTAAAATAATATTAACAATGTACTTATTATATTTCGCTGTTTGTGTTAATTACACAATCGACGAATCGAAGCTGATGGTTTCGAGCGATTTACATGCAAATGATGAATCAGACCGAACAAGAGAATGGTTTCTACGAATTGTTGTGGTTTACAAGGAGATCGAGATGGAATACTTGAAACGATAATGAATGTCTGCTCAACAAACGAAACCTCTGTCGAGTAGAATACTTTTCAACGATAACCATCTTCGACATCTTCGACAATTTGTCGTGCGTGAAAATTTAAGAATCCTCGAAAGTGTAAAAAATTTCCCAAACAAACAAAATCCGAAAAATAGTCTCAGGCGATGTTTCGTCAAATTAGAATTACCGGGATGCGAACTTTAGGTATTTTAAAATTTTTATGAACGTGACTAAAGAAACGTAACATAAAAGAAATTGATTTCGTTCACTATATGTTATAATACACTCTACTTTGAATATTTTATATTCTGTCGTCCATTAATATTCGGAACACTAAACATCAAAACTGTTATGCTTTCAAAATTGATCGTTCGTTTTGATCACTCGCGCTAATGTGATATAAAAATATTTTAAAATAAAAAAAGGAAGAAAAACGATGCATCTTTAAATCTCGAGGCATTTAGAGACTTCAAGATTTGAAACGAGTCCAGGTTTGTTGTGATTTTTTCCTGTTTTTTTTTTTTTTTTACAAAATTACAATAGTTTCAATATTGAATAAATATTCGATATTCAAGTTGCAATTCCCAATTTTCCACGTAAGCGCGTAAAATCGACGTTATAAGAAACAGCGTGCAACGAATCGGGAAGATTGTCTCACACTGTGTACAGAAGAATAAGTAATCGGTAAAACCTTGGCGAAAACGCCAGTGAAGGGCAGAACGCTTTTTCACACATGCACGTCTTCTGTCCACATCGATCTATAGCAACGGAAATGACGTAGCGTTGAACGATGATTTCATGAATGATCGATCACGCCGAAATGTGTGTGGTAAATCACGTTAAAATTCAATTGCGGCGGTGATTAATAAAATTACCGCTACCTGAAATAAAACCGTATACCGTTGGTACATGAATGCATGAACACAGACGACATACGAGAGAGACGTGTATAATTATATGGACGTGTGTAAACAACGTCCGAGCAATAAATTTACATGATTAATATTTAGAATGTCGCTATTTGAAATATATAGCGTCTCATTTAAGTATCATTTGCCGGATTTGAATTCGATATTTAATGAGAATCGCATGAGTTGCCGATCGTAGATAATTACAATATTAAAATTATTTATGAAATTATTTATAAAATAATTCAATAATAATTATTAATTATCGCACTAAAAGTTGTTCGGTTTGATCCGTTTAATTTAAACGAAATCAAGTAATATTAATAATTAATAAATATTAATTGATACATTATATTAATAATATATTGATAAATATTGTGATTATAATTAACAAATATATAATTTAATTATATATGATTATATATGATTAAAATTTAATTATCTACGATTAAATATATAATTTAATTATATATGATTAAATATATAATTTAATTATATATGATTAAATAATATAAAGAATTAAAATATTATATGATTAAATTATAATATAAATAATTATAATTGGATATTAATAATTATATTATTAACGTGGATGTATATTAAATATTATATGTAACTTCATCCACATCGTCTCCTCTCTTTCTCTAATAATCGCCAGATAATGAAACTTGTTTCCCTTCGCGACGCGAAATGAAAACGAATGAAATGCCGTCAGACGTTGTTGGAGCGAGCGAATAATTGAAGAAACGCACGCGTCCATGCAAATTCTGTTGTTCCGTTACGTGAGTAATCATTATATCAGTGATCTAATGCAGAACACGGCGCGGTTATTAGAAAAGACGTCGGTGACTGTTGGTAGGACCTTCAGCCAGTCTCGTTGGATCAGCATGTTATTATATCGAATGTCACTTTTTTTTCTTACAATGAAATCCGTTTGAAGTGCCGGATCGTGGGAACGGTAGTGACACACTTATTTAATGCGTTGAAAAAGATTGGATAACGATCGATCAATGCCTAGAAACAGTCGTCATTTCGCCGTAACGACGAGATCACGAGGTTTCGCGTAATTATGCAGTTATGAGTGTCCTCTGCAATGCACTAAATAACGATAAAATTCTCTCTCTCTCGCTCCTTTTCTTTTTTTTTTTTTCTTGCGATTACGATTCCACGTACTACGATGAAAATGAATTTTATTCCTAGAATATCGTACGTTCATTCCACGTAAGTCGATTGAATTTCTTGTGTAAAATAAATCGAGTTGACGTAAAAATTATGATAATATATTAAAGTACACCGACGATCATGTACCAATGACAATGAAAAATTAATCGATCATTTAAACTGGTGTAATTTCATTAAAAATAAAAATCGAGAAATTGTAACATCTCGTTAAAATGATTAAGAAAAAAGAAAATCGTACAACGAGTTTCAAAGGATCGTTGCGAAGAGAACGGTTTTAATTCTCAAAACCATGATGGATCCAGGTTGCGAAAGAAATTTTTTAATGCTTTTACACACGCTTGAATTTTTGTGATCATGTTCGAAAAAAATGAATTCACGACTGTCGAAAGCTTTGTAGACTTTGCTCTTTCAGATGAGACCGAGCATATGATCTTTCTCTGCGAAATATTTTTCCGTTATTGACGTCGAAATTATGCTGTTTACTGTGTGTTGAAAGATAAACAATAACCGTTGCAGATATCGAGATTTTGTTGGAGAGAGAAAATTTTATATTATTTTTATAATTTCACATTATTTTCATATTATTTTTAATTATATCATTACACATTATATATTATTTTATTATTTTTTACATATTATTTTAATTATATTTATTTATATTATTTTTAATTTTTCTGTGTTTTAACATGACACGCCGATTCGTATATGCAACGACACGAGAGTTTCCATTGATACTGGCAATAGTACTTACTTCGATCGCTCGCGGCAGCTGTTAAATCTTTGACGTTATTCTCATACGATGGGCTGTTCACCGGTGTTAATTTGGTTGTTAATTTCGGTTCGGATGGCTCAATCGCACCGCTGCCGAGTACGAATAAATAACCGAGGGATAATATCTGAAATTGAGGATACAATATTATCAATAGCATTATATCTGAAATTGAATATTATTAATAATATTAAAATACCACAGTTTCTATAAATTTAAATGCTTGTGTAAATTGCGACTAATGTGAGCGACAAGTGCACGCAAATACAATAATATATACAATGTATACAATAAATAAATAAAAAAACGGAGAAATGCATTTGTATTATATTGTTAACATAACTGTTCGAAAATTCAACTTCGTTGAATATTGAGAAATAGATTTACAGTAAGAGAGTGAAGTACAATTATCAAATATAAAATGAGAAAACGAATGGTACTGTTCTCATGAAATTACGGTTAGATTTTCTACGACATGGTTATCTACTTTGTCGACAGATAAATGAAGAATGATTGCATTGCCGTAATGAATCATCACTGTCAATCTTCGTTACGTACATGTAGGTACAAAGTGTGTACATAACATGCACTTACTTTTTCTATTTGGCGAGATTTCTGAAACATTTAGCAGTGCATATTGTCAGAGAAAATATAATTTTCGACCATTTCATGACGTTCTACATGGTGGGTCAAAAATTTCTTCCCACCTCTGATTTTTTTTTTTTAAATAAAACATCAAAGTATAAGAAAAAATTAATTTTATTAATTTTAAATTAAATTTAAGTTCGAACATGATTTTTTTCGATTATATTTTAAAAATCTAAAAGTAAAGAAAAAAATTTGAGAATATACATAATAAAAAAATGATGGATTTATTTTAATAGGAAGTGATTTTTGGCCCACCTTGTATTACACCATTCGAACTTGATACAGATTGATAAGGAATAAGTTGAAAAATTTTCTTTATCCTCATTCGTTATCTAGAGTACTCATTTTCTCTTTCGCTAATGGCAAATATTGACAGAAAACAATGGTCAGTTGTTAAGGAAGAAGATAGAACTGTTTCTTCTGGGTCATGCACACAACACTTGCGCAACACATTAACGACAGAGTTTGGTAAAAATCGAGAACAGGAATTTCGATTTTTATAGTAAATATTTGATAAATATTTAAATATAAATATTTTTCAAAAGAAAAGAAAACAAATTTTTCGCCTGAAAGGTCTAACAAACAATTTTTTATCCACTGGACGTCTATGTCGAGTATACTCGTGGTAAAGATGGCTTTTTTTTATTTAACAGCGAGTATTCGCGTTTGCTGTCGAAGACAAAACAAAAACATATTCGTAATTTTATCGCATTTTAGAATACTTCAGGACAAAGACAAGAATTGTAATTTTTTGTGAAATAATATGCAAACGAAAATGCAATTTTATAACAAAACACGATTAAAAGAGAATTAGAAAATTTTGTCGTTTTATTTATTAAATTTACTTCAATTTTACTGCAAATTTCACACTGTGTTTTCGTCGATTTATATACTCGTCATAGCTCAAAAGTAATTAAGCACACAAGTGCATGTTCTCGAAATGAAACAAAACACTTACATTTCAGTTCAAACCAAGAAGAGAAAAAAAAGCGACATAAGATTTCAACAAGAACGTCTATGTTCCGTATAATTTCTCCTAGCGATTAAAAAAAAAATACTACAATAAATAAAATACCAAATTTTCTTCAAAAAAAAAGAAAAAAAAAAGATTTGATTACAAATTACAATTAGAACACACATCTCTTTCTTTCTCTCTCTCTCTCCCTCCCTCTCAATAGAATTGAGCTTCATCAACGAGGATCCAATCTCCGAACAAAAATTCACTCGCAAAAGACACGAAAATCAAAAGGAGCCAATACTTACAAGCGAAAGAAGGATACTCATTTTTTTCTCAGTGGTCTCAATCGAACGAAAAATATTAGTTAGCCCGTGGAAAATGAATGCCCTGGCTCGGACGAAACGTGCAAGTATTATGCTCGACGCGACATGGCTCGAAACGTCTATATACGCGTGTTTCGCGTGCCCCTCCTCATTTTCCTAGCTGAGGTCTCGGTTTGTTCAAGCTCGATCCTTACCTCAGGAAGCGACTCGTTGACAAGGTCGTCGACGAGAACCAGCCGCGTGTATTCCACGTGACACGCCCGCAACGTCAGAGCCCCGGCGCATGGGAAACCACGTTCCCGTCTTTCGAGAACTTTAACGCGTCCATCGCGTTAATCCTTCGGTTTTGGCTACGTCATCCAGACGGGAGGACGTCTTCGACTTCGAGCAAGTAGCTCAAGATCGGCAGAACTTCGCTGGGGCCGGTGAAACGTCCTTCGATCGTGTACAAGATGACCGGCGGACTCGATAATTGTGTCTTCTAACAGTGCACAGGCCGGCGATCTTTCGCACGAGTGGCACTTTTTTGTGAAAGTAGCGCAAAATGAGGATAGAATTGCATTATTAAGAAGAGATTCTAAAGATTTTTATACGAAAAAAATGAGGATAGAAATTAAAGCAACTTTATTGCATTATTACGAAGAGGTTCTAAAGATTTGTATACTAAAAAAATGAGGATAGAAATTAAAGCAACTTTATTGCATTATTACGAAAAGATTCTAAAGATTTGTATACTAAAAAAATTAGAATAAAAATTAAAGCAACTTTATTGTACTATTACGAAGAAATTCTAAAGATTTGTATACTAAAAAAATGAGGATAGAAATTAAAGCAACTTTATTGCATTATTACGAAGAGATTCTAAAGATTTGTACACTAAAAAAATTAGAAAAGAAATTAAAGCAACTTTATTGCATTATTACGAAGAGGTTCTAAAGATTTGTATACTAAAAAAATGAGGATAGAACTTAAAACAACTTTATTGCATTATTAGGAAGAGATTCTAAAGATTTTTATACGAAAAAAATGAGGATAGAAATTAAAGCAACTTTATTGCATTATTACGAAGAGATTCTAAAGATTTGTATACTAAAAAAATTAGAATAGAAATTAAAACAACTTTATTGCATTATTACGAAAAGATTCTAAAGATTTGTATACTAAAAAAATTAGAATAGAAATTAAAGCAACTTTATTGTATTATTACGAAGAGGTTCTAAAGATTTGTATACTAAAAAAATGAGGATAGAAATTAAAGCAACTTTATTGCATTATTACGAAGCAATTTTAAAGAATTAAAGCAACTTTAAAGCATTATTACGAAGAGATTCTAAAGATTTGTACACTAAAAAAATTAGAAAAGAAATTAAAGCAACTTTATTGCAGTATTACGAAGAGATTCTAAAGATTTGTATACTAAAAAAAATAAGGATAGAAATTAAAGCAACTTTATTGCATTATTACGAAGAGACTCTAAAGATTTGTATACTAAAAAAATGAGGATAGAACTTAAAGCAACTTTATTGTACTATTACGAAGAAATTCTAAAGATTTGTATACTAAAAAAATGAGGATAGAAATTAAAGCAACTTTATTGTATTATACGAAGAGGTTCTAAAGATTTGTACATTGTAAAGATTCTAAAAAAATTAAAATAAATAATAACAAAGATAATATTTTTAAACATATACGTATATCTAATCATTTTCAAAATATACTATATTTTCACATCAGAAAAAATACTTGGGACGATCATAATCACAAATACCAGACACATCCCTTTCAAAATGTTGCAGTAAATATCCCCTCTTATGGTACTAAACAGGTTTATGGAAGTTAAAGTTTCTGGCGATACAAATAGGTTATTATTTCACAGTACAAATGAAATTGTTATTTCATATACAAACTAAAATGGAAAATGTGAGAATTTTGCTATTTTTTTCTTTTCTTTTTTATTCATTAGAATGTGTACAAAATTTTCAGTATCTGCAAAAAAATTCGATATATGATATTAATGTAAACATTAAAATTTGAATCGCAAAAGTGCACCACCACCTGCTACAACCACTATTTTACAAAATCGCGGTCGTGTAGTGTTAATATCGCAGGACGAGGCTGATGAACGTTCAAAACGATCAGGAATTGTCGATAACACGCGTCGCGACACGTATTATAATTAACTCATCTAGCGTTGATTTAGTAAATTTCTAATGGCTAAATTTGCTTGTCTTTTTCTTCACCCTTTCACCCTTTATATCTTTACTTTACCCTTTCTTACCTTTTTCAAATGCAACAGCAAGCGTTTCAGAGTTTACAGTTTCGCGTGTGTGAATTTTGCTTTCGACGATTATCAATCAGCTTCATTTAACCTATTAGAGCTTGAAAGCTACGCGTGATTATCCAATCATCCGATCTCTCGATGCCAGTTCACCGATCCGAACGCGCAAGTTTAATTCGAACGTACGGATCCGACAATTTTGATTTGTAAAACGCAATATCGCAACGATCGACATTTTCGAAATGCTTTCGAAAGTTTGACAACGCGTTTAATTAACAAGTCGAGATAAAGAAAACACACGAGCGGCATTAATTGCCACTCGGGATGGATCAAGTTTTAAAAATTGCTCTCCTGCAAAAGAGAACGTGAAATACGTGAAATATTTTTATTACATTTTTTTCTGCAACCTTCAATTGGCTGTCAATTGTAGTATCGGGTACAATCGTTCCAATTTGCTTTATAACCGTGCATATTTTCAAATCCTTGACAGCGCGCGATACCGCGCAAAAGGATTATTAATTTCACTGTCGATTAACCACTGCCTGAGCTTACGTGAATCGCTATAACTCAGACATTGTACGTATGTAACAAATCAATACCTAGACTTCAACGTCAATCTCAGGGATAGAGTCTAATTAAACTACGGTATTAACCGGTGTAACTTCCATTAATATTCGAACGCTGAATATTGAAATTCTAACAATTTCTGTGAGAGAAAAAAATCGTGGAACGATAAGCTTGGACTTTTCATTTCAAATCATGAAGCCTCTATTCTAATATAAAATTGTCATTTCTTCAAAAATATTTTTACGTCACACAGCGCGAGTGGAAATGCTATAAACTGTCATAAAAGTACGTAAAAGTATTGAAGAATTTTTTTCACGATTTCCTGAATCTACAATGGGTTTGAAGATTAAAGCCTCTCCTTTGCGACGACTCTCGAAAAATTTAACGTATGATTTTTTTTTCTTTTCCGTCATTTTATTCAACTTTGAATATCAGGTTTAAGTGAAACGAGAATATATAGGAATTACGAGTCGAGTTTCACACTGGTGCTCATGAAACTTCGAAATGTGGAAGACACGCAGTAGTATATATTCATAAAAGTTGTTTGAACGCGTCCAGTGCACGTAGAGAGGAAAAAATCAAATTTTCGCTGCATTCCTCGCTAACAAGCGAGTAGAACGCGTTTTATAAACGAAAAACAGGGGATGAGAAGTGATAGAACTACTGGGAAAAAATTCGGTGTTAGAGGAGGATCTCGTTTACCAAATTCTCTGTCACAGAATGTAGTATCAAGAGTGTGATAATGTTCGCTATTCGGAGCAGCTGCTGACAAATAAAATGGCCCCAGAAAAACCCGAAAATTACGCTTAAAGCACAACAGAGTACTATTACAATTAATTTATTATTACTTAATTAGTTTACGGTAGATTACAACGCGCGAAACTTTCCTAGAAGCTTCTCGCAGCGAATGGCCCATCATCACCGTGTGAAATTAGTCGAAGAATAATAACTGTAACATTCAGAGAGGAATTTTCCATTAAATATCTATACTCGAACAGTTAGTTGTAATTTTCCCATTATTATTTTTTTAACTAACTTAAGAGACACTCAAACATGAAGAATTAGCTGGAGATCTCAATGCTGAATAATCTGAAGTATTAAGTGTGAGGGAAAATTCTGTCGGTTTTTTTTTTTTCAATCTATTATGTAATTTCCTTTCCTCAGATATCACTTTCTTTCAACGCTCTGGTAGCTTATTTATTCTTCTAGTGTCTAGTTCTAGGTCTTCCTGATTTTGACACATCTTTCAATGAAAAATCACCGTTCAGTTTCGAAATTTTTTTCGAACCATCTTTAGCAGGTTCTAGAATCGTACAATGCCCCGATATTGCTCAAATAGTCAATTCATCAACTCGAATGATTTCTACCGCTTGATATAATAGGACAAGTACATTTCAAACTGGCCCAATATTGTTTAAAAAGTCATCATCATCTACCAGAAAAAAAAAAAAAAAAAAAACTCAGAATGTCAGTCTTTCAGAATTTTTCCTTACACCCGATATTATAAAAAATATCGCTGATTTTCTCGAAAACTTCGTTTTCTCAATGTTTCCCTTGCAGAGGCGTCGTTCACTCTTGTTGCACAGGAAGTTGCAAACGAATTTCGCGACTTGTACATATCACGCGCAAGGTTTCGCTTTTTAGTGACAAGAAGATTCTTTCAGGATACAGTTAATAACCGTCGACCTACAACGACTCTCTAAACAAAGACACTGTTTCACGAAAGAAAGAAAGCGTGTTGCAACACAAAGCACACACTGTGTGTCGGGCACACCTCGCACAAATGCACGGTTATCACGACGTCGTAAATATTATTTCGAGTGTGGCGTAATACGAGCGTACAATTCATAGATAAACGCACATGTGTGTATCTGTGTGTGTGTATGCGTGTGTGCGTGTATGTGTGACTAAACGACACGGCGCGTATGAATATGTATGACAACAGATGCATGTATGTAGCTCGTCAACCTAATCGTTTCACCGTATGACTATCGGAAATGTCGTTTTTCGTGCCAAGATTTTAGAAATCGTCGCCGAAGATTTTTAAAAAAGGCACGCCCAGTATTGAAACTGTTACAACTTCGTGAAAAGTAAGAAACTTGGGCTCATTTTAAAGTTTTTTAAGAATCTGCTTTCAAGATGGCAAAGTGTAAACATTTTTTTTTTCTCGAAAATGATATATATTTGTCTTATAATATAGTATATTATATAAAAGTATTATAATATAGTATAAAAGAAGATTAAACGATTTTTTTTTTTTTCGTCAATTCATTCAATTCAACTTTGAATATC